GACCGCTTCTTCCAGGGGGACTCTTGGTATGTCCACTGTGAAGTGAGGGTTCTAGGAAGTAATTAACTGGAAAACAGTCATTTGCTGATAGGTCAAACATATAACTAACCACCCAAACACTTGACAAGAACAGCTAATAATAATCGTGCTGGGCACAATTAGCCCAAGCCTGTCTTGGCCAAACCAGAATGTCTGGTCACCGCTATTTTGTGAGCCCTTTCTATGTGCCAGGCACTGTGATAGGGTCTTAACTCGGGTCATTTGTTTCCCTCAGTAACTCCGGTTGAGCAGCTGTGATTATTTCCATTTGGCAAACCATCATGAGTCCCCAAAGCAGAACTGACATCCTTTTGTATTCCTTTCCCGGCTCCAGAACCTTCCCCTTCCACCCTCCTGTTTCAAAAACTTCTGTTGGGGAATTCCCTGTCCGTCCAGTGGTTAGGACTCCGCACTTTCACTACCGAGGGCCCGGGTTCGATCCCTGGTCAGAAAACTAAGATCCCGAAAGCCATGCGGCATGGCAAATAACAATAATAAATAATAATAAAAAATTTTAAAAATTAAAAACCTCTGTCGATGCTTAGGGCATTCAGCTACTCCCCCGTGTACCTTTCCTAGCCACTGACATCTACCTGCCACTTGGTTCCTCCCCCAGATTAAAGGCTTGGGCACTTGAAGTTGAGACTTCCTCTCCACCCCGGCCCTGCAGTCTCTTTTGTTGGCTCTGAAGTCTAATTTGCATGCCCCATGCAATCTTCAGGCTTCCTCTTCCCCGACCTCTTCCACTCTAGGGCCCCATCCTCACTGCCTGTCAATCACCGACTGGCGTGACCACACCCTGGACCTTGAGACAACTTCCTGTTCTCTCCCTCTCTCACTGCCATTCCACCTGTTCTCCTGTGTCATCCAAACCGCGAGTCCTTTAATGCCTTCGTTACACCCGTCCGTGGTGCACTGGTCAATGTTTAACCTGCTCTGTGGAGGCAGCACGGAGCTGCATATATAACATATGCCTGCGCATATGTATATGTTTATTATGAATTTACTGATATAAAGAATATGCAACACACACTCTATAAATAACAAAATACACAACAGCCTTTACTGTAAACTCTATCAGGCCAATTGATTTTTGGCGAACTCTTTCATCTGCAGCTAACATATGGCAGTGAAGGCAATTCAGCCAGGATTTGACAAAGGGACTTGCATCCCAATCCACTAACTCTTTTCTTAATAAATTTGTTTTCTCAATAAATTTAACTGACGTGGGGCTTCCCTGGCGGTCCAGTGGTAAGACTCCGTACTCTCACTGCCGAGGGCCCAGGTTCGATCTCTGGTCGGGGAACTAAGATCCCACGAGCTGTGCAGCACGGCCCCCCACCAAAAAAAAAAAAAAAAAAAAAAACAACTGATATGATTTATTGTTAAGCCATTTCCCACCCTCCTTCAAACTATATTCATTAAACTGAAACTTTGCTCAGCTTCAGCACCAGCAGTGGGAGCATCCCCATTCTAAGATATAACCAGGGCAAATATTTACTTCCAGAGCAGACAAGAGCCACATGTAGTTCACGAGGACATGATGAGTTTTGAGTATTTACTGCCTTTGTTTTTAAATGTAACTTCGTAAGTTTGTCTAAGTTAATTGCAAATAATGGTGCTACCTGAAATCGGCTCACAAAATTCCTGCACACTTAAGCATCGGCTCCTGTGAAATGGGCAATCGGGCTCCAGCACACCACAAGGCCCCCTCAACATCAGCCTGGCCCTCCCCTCTCCTCATTCCCTATCTTACAGGTTAGCCTATAAGGGCACATGGAGCTGACGTCCTCCACAGCCTCTGGGTGAACATGAGTAGGGTGACGTCGAGGTCAAATGGTCTACAAACGTCTCTCAATTTTCTTAATATAGGTCCACTTGTTCTTGGGAAACAAGTATCTCGACTAGTTTGTATTGGGCACATAATGGGTTTACAACTTAATAAGTGCTTCTAGAGTTACCAAGGAGAGGTTATGGACTCTCCTGGAGTTTGGGTCTGGTAAAATGTCTACCCACTCCCCTGTGTAAGACATGGAGGCCTGCAAATGGGAATGCGGAAAAACCACGGATATGAGCCAAGCAGCTCTTCCACTTACCCTGCAGGGAAATGCTGACTGTCCAGAAGCCCCACTAAGGAAACGAATCTCCAAGGCCTACCATTACCTATGCTGACACCAACTCCTCAGTTGAGGCTTCTCCCCTGACAGGGGAAGTCATCTGCAGACATTACCTCACCCTCCAATCCTCACATCAAACCGGTGAGGCACGTAGAAGGTATCCTCAACTTACCTCATCTGTGGGGAAATCACTGCCCACGCATCAGGGAAGCTCACTGCTCTGCAAACACTCCGAGTGTCCCTGCCACCAGCACAGACTAAGCAGTGGGCATCTCTGGTTTGTTCTCGAACCAGTTTGCAACCAAAGTGCAAAGCGGACCGTCCTCTACCCCAATTCACCAGAGAGAGAAATCTGCGCTAAAATGGCCCACTGTGAGCTCTGTTCTAAGCAGCTAAGATCACCTCACTGGAGCAGCAATTTTAGTAACGTCACAATCCCCAGAGTGGGTTCAGAGAAACTCCAGCAAGTGGGTTACCATCTTAGGCAATTTTAAGTTTTATGGGAACTCTGAAAGTTGCTTGTCGGGGATTGGAGCTCGCGGAAGGAAATGTAAAGAATGACTAACAAGCCCCCAAAAAGTTGCCCTCTTTCTTCCTGGAGGATGTAAATCTCTACTTTCCACCAGTGGCTGCCAGTGTAAACAAGACTTTCACTTTTCGAAGACATGAACGTGATAAAAGTACTAATGCCAAGAAGTTTCAACTTTGCCTTTGAGTTCATGGGCAGTAGGGTTGAAAACAGTATCCTGCTACCAGTCAAGCAGAGAAAAGATGGCCTAAGAAAGTTGGCCTCCATCTCCTTTTCTCCTTAACAGGTGAATGCCTTCTCAAGTATGCAGCTTCTCCCTCTCACAGCCATGTTGGCGAAGCCTGGGATCTGCATAGAAAGCCTCCTCTCCCAGCCACCTGCAAAACTAGAAGTTCTCTCTTGAACTTCTAGATGCCCATGCCACTCTGCAGCTTCCTCTGGTCAAAGGATCCAAAGGCCTGCCCTTCACCTGCAGCTCATACCTCGGCTGTCTGCATCTCACATCCGGATTACCCACCACCACCCAGGACTACCTGCCTTCCTCATTCTTTTGTTTGTTTGTTTTTGGGGTACGCGGGCCTCTCACTGTTGTGGCCTCTCCTGTTGCGGAGAACAGGCTCTGGACGCGCAGGCTCAGCGGCCATGGCTCACGGGCCCAGCCGCTCCGCGGCATGTGGGATCTTCCCGGACCGGGGCACGAACCCGTGTCCCCTGCATCTGCAGGCTGACTCTCAACCACTGCGGCACCAGGGAAGCCCCTTCCTCATTCTTTCATGCCAGCACAGACCTCCCTTTCCATTCCACACTAACTTCACTCATTTTCCAGTTACTTAAACTGGAAAACATCCTAGAGACCATGTATCCGTGTGATCACCAGGGTAATTTTCTACACGAAATAATAAATGAGAATAAGGAAACCTAACACGAACACACTGTCATTTTAGAGGTCACGGCCCAGCCTGGCTGCAGGCTCATGACCCATGAGGAACACTAACAGATGATACAAGGTTCAATGTCTACGTGACAGTGACTACTGCCAAGACTGCCACTTAGTGCAATACGTCTCTTGGAACAGCCTGCCACCTGCCTAACCACACCAACGGGTATAAGTTTAACCAGCACCATCACTGTTACAGTAGGTCAGCTCCAACGTGGAGAACAAGAGCCAAGGCAGAGTCCTTCAGTGTGGCAGGTACACAGGTCAAGAGACAATCCGTCAGTCTCTGGTCACAGCAGGGGCCTAGATACTGTCCGAGGAAGGAAGTTTCTCCCTCCATGTTAACCATAGAGCTCCAACCATGGGATCTGTCGCTTCCCACTGTGTTGCTTCCTCTTATCAACTGATGTTAAAACGTGGGAACTGGTCTTAATGAATGACATCAGGTGCGTGATTTTATGTATATGTACAGAGGGTTTTGAAAGGAGCCTGCTGGTTTGAGTTCTGGTGGTGCAATCAAGGCGTTTTTCTGCATTTGGACTAGATCACTTTTCAAAGTGATCTATGCACAAGACCCAGGTCTGGGGGTAGATGCTCTTATCTGTTCCACACTCTGGACTTCTGACTATCGTGTCTTTTAAAGCAAGGGTTCTATTGCTGAAAGGAAGTAAGGAAAAAACGAAAACTCTGAAAGCTGGACTGATCTTCCACTGTCTACACAGACAAACATTAGAATGACCTATTTCCTTTTTCCTACTCCAACTCATTTGGATGTCCCCTTGCCTAGCAAAAGAGTCAGAAGCATGGAGAGACGGGACTTAATCCTGGTTTTAATCCTGGATTTAGTAACATCATTAATCTAATCCCAGCTCATTCCTCGGGCATTTTCTGAAAAAAAAAGCAAACAAAGAAACCTCAACCTGCAGCCACTGAGTGGAAGGCACAACGCCCCCTTCATGTGGCCTTGGGAAGCCACTGCTTCCACCACACCACCCATCCCTGCTCGCTGACCTCCTAGCCAGGGCCCTCCCCAGCCTGCCCTTCAGGTGTTTCTACCTTCAGCCCCACCTATTCCAACACGAGATCTCATATGCCTGGTCATTTCTGTGCCAGATGTAGTATCAGGCGCTCCACAGATGAAGTGCTTCAGGGTGGTTTGTTACCAGGGAGTCTACTTGCTCTTCAGTTCCTGGGGATGACAGTTTGGTCCCAGAGGGACTGTTTCCACCACCCCCCCAAAGAAATACCAGATTTGAATAAACCGTGGCACCGTGGCTGACAAGGTTTGCACTCACGTGAGAGCGAAACATGAAAAAAAACCCCATAAACCTAATAAAGAGCTTATTCTGCACAACTAGAAAAGAATGACACCAAACCATTTAAACGTAATTTATGTACATTTATGGCTTTATACAGTAACAGCAAAGATTGTTCTTGTGTCTGTAAGTACGTCAGCATCATCAGGCACTTCTCAGAGAGTATGGGAACGGGAACGGGAACCTGGTACTAAACTCCAGTAGTGAAATGTGGGCGGGAGTGACTGCGTCCCGACGGGATGGACGTGGCCGCACCTGGCCACGCTGCCAGGCTGTCAGCCCCCCGCCCCCGTCAGGGAGGAGGCCAAGAGTAATGCTAGGCTGTTCTGTTTGCATAAACCACACTGCAACTTTTACTGAATGGTTACTCCCAAACTAAAACCACAAGAGAAACTTCTTGTTTAAAAGTCAGTTATAAATTAAGAACTCTTAGGAGCTGAATGTAAGAATTTCCAGTTGGGGGTTGGGGAATGGTGGGTGGGAGGGGAGGACTGATAACATATATCCAGCAGCTGAACGGGTCCGAATCATATATTTGGGGGGAACTGTTTCCATTTTAAGTGTCTCTTCTCCTCTTTTGGGGATGATGTTTCACTGATTTACTGCTCACTGGGGTACAACATTTGCTAATTAATTTAGACTTTGTCAGTTTGTCAAAGCAGAACTTTCCAAGTAACACATCTATGACCTAAATATATTCCATACGTCTATATTACGGAAACAATACTTTATATTTAAAATATCTGAATAGCTCTATAATACAATATGCTTTTAATAACAGTACAAACCAGAGGAAATAAATCAAACAAGGCTGCATAGGTGATATCATTTGCACATTTCACAAAGCAATCATGTACAATAACTGATATACTCATTACTCCAGAAAGTCAGTATTCTTACAGAAAAAGAATTACTAGAGGTCACATAATGTTTTGTTTTCAAAATAGACAAGGTGCCTTTCACTGGACTTCACTGTACCCCGGAGAGCTACCCAGGATTCCTGTTGGAATTTCAACACAAAGAAAAATTTGAAGGGAAAAAAAAAAAAAAGATATTTACACAGACTCAAGAGGAAGCAACATCTTTTTAAAAGTCACCCTACGAAGTAGTAAGATTTTAACAGTGATTTGTAGCTAGGTTGCCTCTTCAATGAACAGGGCGGTGGGGAGTCTCACCGCGTGATGCCTGGGAGGCGGGGAGTGGTGGCAGGTGGGCCCAGAGGGGAACACGAGTACTCTGGCTCCAGCGAGCTCTAGCACATGTGCAGGAGGCACTGCTCAGAAGAACTAGGGTTTCTATGACCAGACTTATTTTGGAGTGGCCAACAATGAAGACGGCTAGAGAGACGGCTGTTTAATGAATTTTCAGAAGCACAGAAGTCACTGTGGGAGCTTACAGTAGAGCCTGTCTCCTGGAGGAGACCGCCATCAGAACACCTGTGTTCCTGTTAAACACGGAGGAAAAACCAAGCCAACAGAGACGCAACTCACAGGCAAGACACAGCAAGTGTGAAGTGGGCTGGGTTCACAGAAATCAGAGCCTTCTCAAGAAGGCCAGAGGAACGTTTTTGTGCACCTGTTCCTTTTATTGTGCGGATTCTCAGCGTTCCACATGACTTGAACACACCGATGGATTAAATGGCACGCAAAGCCAATTAACTTGGTCTATCAGTACAGGTAATTGAAAAATATCAATATTACAACATAATGATCAGAATTATAATTGGCGTTGCTAAAGGCAGAAGAAACTCTCCAATTCTTAACTTACGCTAAGGCTTTTTAAAATAAATTCAAATATACCACTTACAGCTGGTTTGTTGGTTTTCAAATTCATTGCCCCGATTTTTAAGCAAGTTCTATTCCATTTGGTAGCCACCTGCACTCATGAACACAAAACATTCTAAAAATCACTTGAGTGCCACTTAAAAAATTCCCCGCTTCGACTTGGCCTTCCACAGGGTGCCAAGTAGCCCAAGGACAGAGGGAAAGAGGGATGAAGCATGAGTGTGGACCTGATTCTTCAAGGCAGAGCTACAGAACCAACCTCCACCTAGACCAGGAAGAACACAGTATTACAAGGGAAAACTTTTGCTGAAGCTCAACTCAAAACGGTTAAGTTGATCAAAACCCCCAGCTTGAGAAAGGAGCACTGTTTTAGAGGTGGATCTCCCCTTCTGATCTACAAATATTACGAGGCCTCCCGCCAGGAGTATTTGCAACAAAGAGCATACAGGCATCCGTCAGCAGAGTCAATGCTGTGTGGTATGCTTAATTCACAGGATAGTAGAAGCGGATGGAATTTTTTAAAAACGCATACATAAAAACATATCAAGTTCTCCTAAACGTGAAACACAAAATGTTCATAACTATACATCACTCTCCTGCCAAGATAGGCCCAGAAATGTTGAGTGTGCAAGTACTAATTACAATGATTGAAAGATTAGTCAGAAACATCACCAAGTAGCATCCCAAAGTGTACAAACCAGTTAAGCACGTATAAAATTAGTACTAATCCAGTTAGAAATACAAAATGAAAATTACGGATGCTGCTTCAAATATCTGGGATTCCACAAATTTACAAGCAGACTATGTAACAAAGTAGACTCTAGTTTTAAGAAAACATTACAGTTCAATATCTATTCCAAAAATGATCTCAAGTCCCAACAATAACATCAAAAATCATTCATCTGGAAATTAGAACCATTTAAGTGTTTGTACAAATTTGCAAATAACAAAACAAACAAAAAAAATAGAAAAGACTTGTACAAGGCTGGCGTTTAACCTATTTTCTATTCTTTTTTTTTTTTCCAAAAGAGTTTTGATAAGTCCATTAATTCAGCAGACGGACAACAGGCTACTGGTTCTCCTGTGAATTATGTGGCAATGTGAACAGGTCCAGAGCTGTTCCATGGAGGTGCAGAATGGAGAGCTTGGTTCTTTGTCATTCATCAGTTCAGCAGAACACAGGTCGTACAAACAAAAGTTTAACTTATCAAGGACATGAGACCATCACAGTATTACAAAAAGAGTAGAAACTTTCCTTGGACCAAATGAATATTTAAAAAAACAAAAATGCACACAAATACAATTCTGTAGCTACGGCTTATATACAAAACTTGAAAGCACACCAGGATCCAAGTCTTTTCTGCAATTATATGGTGTAGTGAGTTTGGCACTTCATTGTAATGAAATTTCCAATGGCACAGTCCTTATCTACAGCAGCACGTAACCTGCAAACATCGGGCAAACATCCTGTACAGGAAAAGTGTCTTCGCTGCCAAGTCTGACGAAAGGAAAAAAGAAACACTTTCTTTCTTTTTTTTTTTAATCAAGAAAACGAAAAGGTAGGGTGAAGGACATCTTTGGACTGCTTCTCTCAGTTCCTGCTGTCAGACAATCTGAAGTACTTTTAAGTGTAGCCTAGGAAAGAAAACACATACACACACACACTCATTGAATATACAGCCAAATTAAAATCAATTCAACTCAACATATCAGGGTGACAGACATGCTTGCAGGGGGGGCTGGACTTTCTCAAACAGCTCTGAAATCATTCGGTGGGAGAAAATTCCACTTTAAAAAACCCTTCAGCATTTGATTTGTATCAAATGTGTTCACTTATTGAAGAGTTGCTAAAAAGATGCAGCCATCTAGTCTGTCGAAAGAAACTCTCTAAAGCAGTTAGAGGAAAAGCTTCCTTACGTTTAAGCTCCAAAGGAAAATTTATAAGCTGCAAAAGGGGTGGAGAATGAATGATAAAAGGTGCCTCTCGGCAAGGGGCGGCCAGCTGCCATCCAAAAATCCCCAACCATGGAAGATACAAGGCAAGGTACTGGGTTCCTCTCTTCTAAGTCCTGTTTTCAGAAGGTCTTTTGATATCGGGGTGCTCTTACCTGCTCACTCGCTCGCTCTCAGCCTGACACCCAGCTGTGTGTTGTCGTCTTGACACTGTGTGGGAAGCTTTGGTTGGGCAACACATTGTCAAAGTTAAAATCCAACGTATCTCCATCCATGAGGTCATTCCGGATGATGGACTCCATGTCACAGTCCAAGCGCTCGATAAACATGCCGTCCAAGTCACTTGGGAGCTTCTCCTGGTGGAGAATGCCCACCCTGCCATAGCCATTGCAGCTGCTCACAGAGGAGTAGCCCCCCAGGGCATTCATCTGCATGGGGTGGGGCAGAGGCACTTGTAAAGCTGTCTTCACTGGGGCCAAGCGGCTCAGACCCGAGGTGTGGGGCATGGTGTTCACCGCGTGGGGCAAGGCACGCCCGTTAACCGCAGACGTCGACTGAGCATGTCCAGGGTGGCTGTGGGAGCTGGGGTTCATCATTTTGTTATGAGATGCCTGGCTGCCATAGGCTGGCATGACCGAATTAGGGCCCATCAACACATTCTGGCCAAGGACTCGGCTGCTGGGTTGAGCCACCCCAGGATCAACTGGTGTCATAATGTCATTATGGGGAGGAGAGTCGGAAGTAAGTAACTCCTTCAAGAGTCCCGGTGCACAGTTATACTGACTCATGCCTCCGTAACTCGATTTGCTGTCCTGAAGCGTTTGCATAGGCATCTGGGGCAAAGGGCTCATGCTGGACTGGCCGTACGTGTATTTTTGGTAGTTTGGGCTGGGTGAATTCAGACTGGTGTTTGGCGGCGCAAACGAGTAGCATGGCGTCGGCTGCATCATGGTGCCCGGTGAAGACTGGGTTGAAACAGTTAATGACGTTGGTGATGAGAGAAGGTTGAGATTATCCAAAAGGTTTTCCATGTTCTCAGGACTGCTTATCTCAGACAGACTGGGCAGGGTAGAAGCCATCTTTGCAGCAGACGGTGGGTACACCATAGAATGCACATCCCCGTCTCCAAGATCATCCTGTTCAGTCATAATGGGAGAAAGCCTCCCACTAATAGTACTAGCATTCGAGCTAGTTCGAGGGCGAAATGTACTCCAGTTATCAAAGTCATCATTGCTGTGAGAGCCAGGGCTTGCAGGCCACTTAGAAAACTGAGATCCTGGGCTGTCCCCGGCACCCTCTTGGCCAGATTGGAGGGATGCTTTTTTCTTGGCAGCTCGGCCTCGGCTCTTAGCAAATTTACTGTTGTTGTCCATGGAGGCGGCTCTTCTCCTGGGGGATTTCCCACTCTTGCCTCCCTCTGGATTAAGCATCCACCAGGAACTTTTTCCAGTTCCTTCATTCTGCACTCGAATAAACTTGCTGTGTAGGGACAGATTATGACGAATTGAATTCTGTAAAGCAAAACACCATGTTAGAAACACAATACTCCTCCAATTGGAAAACCCACCATTCGATACAGACACGTATCACATGGAAGACAAGTTTTGAAAGAGTTTACGGTATAGATTTCAACCTGTACAGTCACTACGTGAGAGCTCAAATCAGTAAAGGAAAAACAGTATCGTATCTTAAAAACAGTATCTGTGTCTTAATTTAACGACGGGACAAAGTTAAATGAGCATTATTATAAACACCTTCTTTTACATAGCTCTATTTTGCAGGGAAATTACAGGAACTGGTTTTTAAACCACTTGGATTTGCTATGCAAATACCACTCCACAACAAAGTGCTATCAAAACCCCTTTCCACTCTATCACGCCTAGAACTACTGCAAATTCTCTTCGGATGGCACATTTGCCACTTACACAAAGTGAGAAGTTTTATGTTATGGGGCCCACGTGGTCACGGAAAGGAGAGAAAAGAAGCAGGATATATTCTTAGTCAAGAATTAAAAGCCTGAAAACTAGTAAGATGTAGATTCATTTACATCCTTAAAGTCCATTAGGCAGATATAGGTGAATATAAGGACAACTGGGCTGTTGTTGTTTAAGTTTAGAAAGTTGAACTGCCAAAAAAAACGAGAGAAAGGAAGGAAGAAAAGACAGAAAGAAAGAAAGAAGAAAAGAAAGAAAGAAAGAAAGAGAGAGGGAGAGAGGGAGGGAGGGAGGAAGAAAGAGAAGAAAAGAAAAGAAAAAAGAAAAGAAAAGAAAGTTTAAATTCAAACGTTGTTCACAACCCTCTCCTCCCAGCAATAACCAGTAGCACGCACCACCTAACTCAGCCCCTGACACCCGTCAGAGGTTACACTCTGGCCAAAAAGCCGGTCTGGGAGGGACAGAGTGGTGGAGAGGACAGAGAGCTGGTGGCTTTGATCCACTGAGTACGGCTCCACAACTAAATCGCATGCGCCCTAGGACAGTTAGTAAAGAAAATCAACTGTTTTTGGAGCACTTAGGTGGCTCTGCTGCTCACTGGCTACAAACCTTGGGTAACTGCTTGGCCCCCATGTACCTTATAGCCCCTTTGGGGCTGTTCTATGGATTCCACGAGATAAGGTAGGTCAAATGCTCAGTGGTGTGTGCAACATGGTAAGCGGTCACCAAGAGGAAGGTGTTAGATCCCAACTTGGTTGGGGGATGGGGAGGAGGGGCCCAAGGCACCGCCCATTCTGAGCCCATTTCCCCCCTCCTAGTCACTGGGGTGTCGGTAGGAGCTTACGGGTATCACAAACACAAACCCACCACTCCACTCGGAACACACTGCAACGGGTGCCAGAGACCGTCACAAGCTCCAGCAGAAGCCGTGGAGCCAGGCGGTAAACAAGGAAGGCCGAATGCAATTCCCCTACTGGACACGCGGCGAGACTAACAGCATCTGGAGAGCCTCTGGGACATGCGGACAAGGAAAGGCGGGCTTCCGAGGAGGAGGGAGCTTCTCTGATAGATTTTTTTGCCCCAGCACAGGACAGGGCACGCAGCAGGCTCCATCATCAGGGCCCTGATCCCAAGTCCAGGGGCGGGGACCTGGGGACCTGGAGCAGGGCTGTGTGCGCTGTGTGCGTGGCCCCCAGACTTCCCTGGCTTCCTCTGCCGACTGAATGCAAGGCTCAGCCGACCGAGCCCCCCGAACCGCTGCGGCCCCCCTCCCTGACCACGGAAAGGCTCTGGCTGGATTTGTGGTCGCCCGGGATGCAGCCACGACACCCACACCCTCACGCCATCGCCGTGGGACGCAGATGCTTGAATGCCAATCACTGCGCCACAACAAAGCCTTGGCACACAGCAGGGTAGGCCGGGACTCAACACAGACTATGAGTTCACAATTTTCCTCATTAAAAGGAGGCAGAAAACAAAGGGAAAAAAATCTCACTTTCTAAAAGGAGATGCAAAAGTCAGAGTGAGGCCGGACAGTCAAGGCTGAGAAATCCACATTTCAAAACGCCCTCTGACCCTCTGTACTACATTCCACCCAAGGATTGCAACACAGCAGCTATGTGATGAGCCCTTCTGCCAGGCCCAGGCGAGTGTGGGTCAGCCCCGGCCCTGAATGGGGACTTCCAGGCTGGACGCTGGGCAGGTGTGTAAGTGCATGGCAGTGAGGGTTTTCTTCTGTTGCCAAGATTCTCCTCTTCCTTCTCACCTACAGATCTATCCCCAACTCAAGACCGGCTTTGAGGACTTTGTGGACATACAAGAACCCTCTACAAGAGGCCCAGCACTGCAATTCCCCAATGTCCTATTTCATCCCCATAAGATTCCCCAAACCCTATGGGAAGGTTTTACTTACGCGCACGCACGCGCACACACACGCACGCACGCATGCACGTACTGTGTGCTCCCAATATTCCATCATGACTATTTTGTTCTTTGAACACAACAGAAACACAGATAAGCGACGATGAAATCTCTGGAGGAAAGGAAGCTTGACTCCTGTCCCTGTCACATTTAGTAACTGATAAAGGGGGGGAGATCTTCCTAGATAGTGGCTTCCTGGCTGTCTGCACTGCCTGGGGGAGGGGGTGGCACAGCTCTATGATTCACATAATTAGATCAGATCATTTGCAATTGGGGGACATTTTTTTTTAATCTTATTTTTGCCTGGAAGCCATTCCTTTCTTTTTGTTTTTTGGGGTTTTTTTGGCTGCGTTGGGTCTTCGTTGCTGCGCACGGGCTTTCTCTAGTTGCGGTGAGCAGGGGCTCCTCTTCGTTGCGGTGCACAGGCCTCTCAATGTGGTGTCTTCTCTTGTTGTGGAGCACGGGCTCTAGGTGCGCGGGCTTCAGTAGTTGTGGCTCGCGGGCTCTAAAGTGCAGGCTCAGTAGTTGTGGCACATGGGCTCAGTAGTTGTGGCTCGTGAGCTCTAGAGCGCAGGCTCAGTAGTTGTGGGATGCAGGCTTCAGTAGTTGTGGCACATGGGCTCAGTAGTTGTGGCTCGCGGGCTCTAGAACACAGGCTCAGCAGTTGTGGCACACGGGCTTAGTTGCTCTGCGGCATGTGGGGTCTTCCCGGACCAGGGCTCGAACACGTGTCCCTGGCATTGGCAGGCGGATTCTTAACCACTGCACCACCAGGGACGTCCCTGGGGGACATTTCTAACAAGACTGCAGAATCTGTCATGATGAAATCTTTAAAAAGTTCAGGAAGCATTCACTAGCTCGGATGGGACATACGCTAACTTACCACTTAGATTTACCAAGAAAAAAGTGGGGGGAGGGCGGGGAGTGGATGTAGAACAATCCCTTACTTATCAAAACATTATGCTACATATTTTCCTAAGAGGACATTTCAGGTCGCTCTTTGAGCAACAGAGCTGTCTCCTAACTTTGCCAACAATTAAAAAATTTTTTTCCGAACAGGAAAAGGTTTGCTGCGCAGGGCTTGTTACATAAATTCCTGTTTTTCACACAGCCGGCAGGACATTAAAGAAGCCATGATTTCCAATGGGGAATATTGGAGTGGAGGGTGTTGAAGAGGTAAAGCTGTAAAAATACGTGTCGCTGTTAATGATGTTATGTCTGCAAATCTCTGCCGGATGCGGTGGACACAGCCGAGGCAGGGAAACTGCGGTTCCCCGTGACCTGTGCGGAGAGCCACACGCGGACAGCAGTGCTCTGACCACGCATAAATACCACGTGAGGAGAGAGGTAGGGTGAGAGGACAGGAGACTCGTGCACTGCAAACCACATACCTAAATCCCGAGGTTCTGCATGAGACCATCAGAGAAAAAGACCACTCAACAACTTTCCCCTCCACTAGCCGTAGTCTCCGCAGTCCGGGCTTGCCGCTCGCTGGTGCCCGGCTGGCTCTCCTCTGCACAAGCCCCTCGGCCGCCTGGCCCTTGACTCTCCCTCGCCTTCTGCGTGCCTGGCCACCCCGAGCAGGGCAGCGAGTTCTTGGGAAGCCTGACCCAATGGAAGTCCGTGGATCGTGTTGGGGGAAGGGGCAGCCTGCACCCGGTGTGCCCTGGCTTGCTCAACCTGCTCTGCCAGCTGTTTCAAATGCCCGGGTGTTCATTTTGTGCACTCTACAGACCAGATTCCAGGCTTCCTAAAGGGCAAGGGGCTGGAGTGTGTTTTTAGCTCCTAATCTCAAAGCCCCTAACGGATGCTCTATACACACGATACATTCAATGAACGTTTGTTGACTGACATCCCAAAAACATCACAGGGAAGGTGTAATGCCTTCCACATCTTTTCTCTATCCGTTCGTGCACCAATTCATGCCAAGTAACTTTTATTGGGACTGATTTATGCTGGGTGCAGTGAAGGACGTCAGAAGGAATTAGTCACAGAGTCTGCCCTCCGGGTGTTTTATGATCTACCTGGGAAAGGAACAAGTCCACCTAAATGGCCACTCAGGACAAAAAATGATGTACAAAGGACTGTCCAGGAGCCTCGACTTCTTCCTGCCAAAGGCCACCACCCCCCCCCCCAACTTCTGTCTCAGCCCAAGTGTCCTTTCCTTCCGGAAGCATTTCCTGAGAAGCCCATCCCAGCCTGCAGCTAACACAGGACCTGATTTACTCACCACAAGCATGACTCTGCTATGTCTGGCTCCCCACTACCCTGTGAGCTGCATAAGCTCGGGGACCTGGGCTGTCCTCTTGTGCGCTATATCCTCACAGCTCCATCACCAAGTAGACACTCAAGTATCTGTTGAATGGATTAATAGGTCCTACCTGTACGGGGTTGTCGTGAAGATTAAATGAGATAACAGATGTCCTTACCTCAATCGACAGGCCCGCTGTTATTATTAAGATAATGGCACCTATAAGATAACATGTCTGTGTTTTAGAGACTCACCCATATTACAAACATTGGTCTCGTTTCTTTATAATCGTACCTTGTACTGTTCCCACTAAGACGAGGCTTTTACATGTTAGTTACTGGGAAAATAGACCAGTTTTGAGGTAGTAGTTAAGATATTTTCTCTCTGCACTAGACAGTGTCTGCTG